GGGCACAGGCTCCCGGGGAAGTGGAGCCTGGGCGCCAAGCTTGGGCTGGCCCGGCCCCACGGTCTCAGGGGTACATGCCCTCTCTCATCTTGTCACTCTGTCTGGACCAAGATCCCCCAGAAAGGGAGGCCCAGGGAGAGGGTCCAGTACTAAATCGCCTTCCAGGACTGGTTTGGCACAGAGTTCCTGGGGGAGGTTGCAGATCGTGGGAAGAGGGCAGGGAGGCCAGGGCTGAAGGCAGCCTGGGAGCCCAGAGGCACCTGGGTCAGTCTGACCCTCTGTCCTCAGGCCACCGTGGTGCTGGGGCCTGCAGTGAGCTGGCATGTCTACCTGCCTGCCTTCCAGAGGCCCTGCCATGGGGCCAGGGTCCCAGGGCTGAGTCAGGTGGCTGAGCACCCGGGAGGAGTGGGTGGGTGGTCGGTCCTCTCGGGCTCTCCAAGGTGGCTGTGTGTGGGAGAGCCCTCTGTTCCCAGGGAGGCCGGTGGGCACTGGGAGCCCAGAGGCACCTGGGTCAGTCTGACCCTCTGTCCTCAGGCCACCGTGGTGCTGGGGCCTGCAGTGAGCTGGCATGTCTACCTGCCTGCCTTCCAGAGGCCCTGCCATGGGGCCAGGGTCCCAGGGCTGAGTCAGGTGGCTGAGCACCTGGGGAGGAGTGGGTGGGTGGAGTCAGTCCTCTCGGGCTCTCCAAGGTGGCTGTGTGTGGGAGAGCCCTCTGTTCCCAGGGAGGCCGGTGGGCACTGCAGCCAGCTGCACTCAGGGTAGACTCCAGTCTCCTCCTTAATCGGAGAGCAGAGCAAGCAGCATGGCTATCCGCGCGAAGGGAGGATGAAACCCTCCTTCTTTTCTTCTCCTGCCCTGCCCTGCGGTCCCAATGACGAGAGGACACCTTACAGTCCTGCCCCTCCCGGGGCCCAGCCAGGCCTGTGTTTGTCCTGCTCTCTAAGGCAGGCCCACTCCTCCTCCGGCTGCTCACAGAACAAACTCAGAGCTGGTGGGGACACAGGACGCCCCCTACCGATGCCTGCGTGGGACTGAACTGGCGAATCCTCACCTTAGCCAGGCAGAGGCAACTCTGGGTCCCCTGGAAACTGCTAGATTGGCAGGGTTTGTCAGCCCTCCCTCACCTGGAAGACAGTGCAGGCTCTGCCTACAAGGAGGGGTGGGGCCAGAGTGTATCCCAGCAGCCCAGGGATGGCACCTGTCCTTGTCGGGAGGCGCACTCAGGGCTAGAAAACTAGCCCAGCTTCTGGAGCACTGGCCAGTTTCCAGTGGGGCTACGGGGCCTCTGACTAGAAGGGGCCCCACCCCTCCATCTGCCTGGAGTGGGGGACAGGACCCAGTGCATGCCGACTCCCTTCATTCCTGCCCAGGGCCTGTGGCTTGAGGGCCACCCCGTCCCTGGGACCCAGCCCTTTGCTGCTCTTTGCTCTGTGCTAGAGGAGGGGCTTCAGAGGGAAACAGATACGAGGGCCCTGGCACCACCTGGGCCCGGTGGAGGCTGGTGGGGAGGTTGGCGGGCACCCGGGTCCTGGAAACTATCGGGAGCTCTATGGGTGCCCACCTGCATGTGAAGGGGGGAGGCAGTACTCAATTTATTTCAATAAACACTTATGATGTGCCAGTGATCTCTGTCTTCCTGGCTGGGGGCTGGCCTGGGCTCTGTCCTTGTGGTAACAGAGTCATGCCCTGAGCTGTCCGGCCATCCCGAGCGTGTCATATGCTGGTCACAGGGGCTGCAGTCTGCACGCACTTGTCTTTTGTTTGTCCTGTGGATCTCCCCCCCCCACTCCCCCCCCAGGAAAGCAGCCAGGCCGAATTCTCATTGCATCTCTTTACTGTGGATGTCCCTGCCACCATCACAGCCACTGGGAAGAGCACACAACTTTAACCCCCCGTGTGCTAAGGGGGAGGGTGGGGACACTCAGGGCTATAAAACTAGCTATGTACACAGAGTATTAGGGAGAACGCCACCCCAGGCATGCACATGTCTGGGCACAGTGGGAGCTGGGGTGGAGCTCAGGTGGATGGTGTGGATGTGAGGTGGGCAGGTGGGTGTGTGCATGTTAGGACGTGCAGGGAAGGGCTTGGGTGGCGGCAGGAATACTGCTGCGGCCCCCTGCTTCAAGCAGCCGGCTGGGCGTGTACCTCAGGGTCCTCCCAGGTTCCTCCACTTTAGGGGTGAGGTCCTGGTAAGAACCCCTTCCCTCCTAACCTGGACCTGAAGCTCAGAGTGGAGGGTGAAGCTGCCAGACCAGGTCCCGCCCAGGGGTCCAAGGGTGCAACCCCTTTCCCCACCCACCACCCAGATCTGGGGGACCCTTTCCTACTGCTGACACAGACCAGGGCTGGGGTGCCTGGGCAGACTAAGGGGAAAAGGCAAGCAGGGGCATCTGTTTGGAAGGCCAGGCTGTGGAGGACAGTGAGGGGGACCCTGGCAGAAAAATGGCAGCGCTGGTATCAGGACTGCCATGGGGACACCCCAGCAGGTGGAGACATCCCCCAATCCTCAGGGATCTCCCACAGAGATTGGACACTGGGGAGACCACCTAAGAATCTCCAGACAGACAGACAGATTGGCACTTAGGGGTCACCACAGCCTGGTCACCGCCGTGACTTCCATAGAGACAGGAGCTGGTCATTGGGGAGTCTCCCCACCTGGGGGCAGGGGACGGGGAGGGCAGCCGTGGTGGCCGGTCCCAGAGGCAGCAAGCAGTCCGTCCTCTCAGGTGCAGAGGTGCCCTGGCCCCTAAGTGACACGGTACGTGGACGTGTTCTTGGGCTCCGTGCTGGGGACGCACCAGTCGCCGGCCTCCTGGATGGTCTGGTAGTGGCGCCAGGCTGACTTGTTGTAGACGGGCAGGCGCTCCACCGAGTCCGTGGACAGGGCCTGGGGAGCGTCAGGCTCAGCCTCTCCCACTGC